TCAGTAAGTGTGTGCGGTTTAGATTCAGCAGAGATTGGTCCCTGACCCAGCAGTGACTCTCTCATTGGTTATTATTCTAACTGACATCCAGAATTCTTTTTTTTTTAAATCTATTGATTGCATCCATGTTATTGTCTTATAGGATGATGTTGATCTCGAATATTCCTACAAAAACCTTCAACTGCCAGGACATGATGATATCGATCAAACTGTCGTCTCGTGAGAACCACAGAAACAGTTGACTTGGATGATCAGAAAACTGATCTGAATCATGAACACTATGAAAACATGTAAACCAAAAGTGAGTCTAATATCAAATATCAACAAATACAGTGGCCTTGAGTCTGTTCCTTTATTTACCTTTTTCAGTCAAAGTTTTGGTATTAAATGAAATGTGTTAATCATCCACTGTGTTACTATTGAGAAAGAAAATAAATGACTGCATCGATTTGAATACATAGAAAGTATTGTTGTCTCCTATTTTTAGAACTGAGAGTAATGTTTGTTAAACATCAATGTGTAACTGGCTTATATTTTACTCATGGAAGTTTCACTTGAGCAAAGTTAAGTAACATTACACAAAGAGTTTTTGTTTCCTACTAAGTTATAACGCTGTGATGCAAAAATTGCACACTGCTTTTTATTATGTGCAATGCAGTGAGCTGCACAGCAGATGCTGTTCTCTATTTCGAGATCAAATTCAGGCCTCCAAATATGAGAGAACCACAAACGCAAATGGATCAGCTTCAGCCCTTTACTTCATCTCAGTAACTTGACAATCACACATGTTGTGTCATTACACTGCTTGGCGAAACTTTGCACCTTTTATTCATGCCTCATTACAAAGTGATGCAAAGTATCGCTGCATTTATCTGCAGAATGGTGATGCAACACATTACTGTTCCGTGTACTGTAAGTTTGTTACCATGCCTTTTCTTGCACATTTGAGCAACAATCATTTGATCTCAGTTCATGGACACAAAAACAGGTCATCCTAAAACTTATAAGGCATGCAGATACAAAGCACACCTGTTCACCTGCACGT